TTAAGGACCTCACCAATCTGGAGACCCTGTGAGTCCATCTGTTTGTCTGCTAGGTCTAGGACTGAGCGAAGGTTGTGTCACAGGACTCTGAACAACAACAACCTCACAGCCCTCCGTCGGGAGGTGTTCTCGTCCATTGACAAGCTCCAGACCTTGTGAGTGACTGCAACACTACATCACCAACTATATTTGCATAATCACATCAACCAATAGTTTAACTCCCGACGTTTCAGTGATTTCCTGTCACTCTCTTCAGAGGAATGGTTACTTTGATTCCTAGTTCTACTTATATACCTACACCAATTTCTGAAATATATGTAAAGCGTCACGTATCGGCATATATATTTAAACTAAACAGACTAAACAGAGCTGGAGCGTTTGCGTTGTTCGAATTCTGGAAGACGGCTGAAGAGAAAAGGGAGCTATATACATAATATAACTGATGTAAATAATCATATGTAAATAATCTTTGTCAGGATTAGAATGACGAATCCTGTATGGGACTTTGATTCCAGTAAAAGGCTTGTTGCTGCTGTTGTATATAGTCACAGTGTAGAAAATACTATACTCTACCTACTACTTATAGGTTTCTCTCTGTATTCTTAGTTCTCTTCTCTTCAATTACTCTGTAAACTGGCGAATCCTTTATAGGACGAGAGGTCCTCAATAAAGGATTTTGTTGTTGTTGTATAAAGATTTAATAAAAGCTTTAAAGAGAGACTATTGCAAATTAAAAAATAAAAATATAAAATATATTGATTTTGAAAATAGAACAATACATAAATAAATCTTTAAATAAAAAGGCATATATTGGATCAAAATATCATTTATTTAATCAATATTTCAGTTGGCTGAACGCCAACCTTTAACAAGGTATTATAACATATTAATGTGTTAAATTAATATGACATTAATGACACATTAATATGTTATAATATCCTGATAAGCGTTCAGCCAACTAAAATATTGATCAAATAAATTATATTTTTATCCAATAAATGCCTTTTTATTTAAATAAAATTATATACATAGCCAAGTATTTTTTCCTCAATTTTCTCTCTTGATGAAAGAAGATAGATTTTTTTGTGAAGATTTTATATACACGATGAGAAAGTAGTAATAAAAATTATTTATAATTTTCAGAGACAGTAATATATTTAGAAATCTCCTCCGTCTAACAAAAATATAAAGAACTAGTGCCTTGATGTAAGTATTCCAAAGGAAAAATATGCTCTAGTTCCAATTACTTTGACGTCAATAGAAGGCCACGTACTGACTCCAAGCTCTGAGAGTTCCTTTCACCGCTAGCAATTAAACCTCCGAGTATTCCACAAGTTTCTTTCCTGGGTTACTTCCCTAGAATATCCTTCTATACATTCAACCTTCGTCCCTTTTATAAAGCTTTTATTTAACTTACTTCCCTGTCTGTCTGTCTATCTGTCCACAAATCTTGAAATCCATTTTTAATATACTTTTAGAGCACGTAGGAATCTAAAATTTAGTACACTTTTCAGAACCCGATGACAATGCAAGTTGACAAAATTTCAGACTTATGGGTTGTCAGGGTAGCCGGAAATGGACATATTCCCGAATTTCCTTTCAAATTTTGTAAATTAATTTATATATATATAAGAGACTAATGTGATTTCCAGGAAGGTGATGGAAAATCCCCTGCGGTGTGACTGCACCCTGGCATGGCTGGGTCCCTGGCTCAGGGGCCGAGGAGACGGGGCTCCACGCTGTGCTCTGCCCTACTATGTGAGAGGCAAGCCCCTGGCCGACCTACCGGACTCCGAGTTCCGATGTAACGGTGAGTTACATTAAATTTGCATAACAATCGGGATGTGATGATTACATATGTATATGACAACACCAACATTCTGTAAGTTTCAAAGTAAACACTTCAACACGATGTTATGTGGTCGATTCAAAATCATTTGAAACCAGAGAGAACATGGATAATAAAGATTAAAACCTATATATATAGTCATGTAAAACCAAAAAATAATGAATAAAAAAGGAGAAACATAAAGAGTAAGATAAGTTTATATTATTATTTTGAGGTGAATATTATGTGAATGTATCAATAAATATTTAAATTGTTTAACAACAAGATTTTTAACAACGGAACCAAGCATTTAAATCGGCTTTGACACGCCATGAGCTTGTCCAAAAAAACAACTGGGGTAACGAACCAGACATTCTTCAATAAAAAAATATATAAATATATATAATACCATTAAGAAAATATATATTTGTTATGTAAAGAAGGTTGGAATCCTCTAAAGAATGTAAGTAATAGATTTAAAGCGTACGAGGATGCGTTTCTTATAGGTTTTAATAAAGGCGAGCTTTCGAGTCAACCTGTAGAAGGGTTATTGACCCGAAAGCTCGCCTTTATTAAAACTTATAAGAAACGCATCCTCGTACGCTTTAAATCTATTACCTCTATTTGTTATGTATTTGTTAGTTGATTTAAGCATAAGAGATTTGTTTATATATATTTATAATAAATAAAAAGAAGGATATAATAGAATAAAAAAAACTCCAGCATAGCTTCGGCCTTTACGCGGCATAGGCTGGGTAGAAAAATAATAAGTGAAGAGATAGGTTTGTATCAATAAATAAGTGAATCACTATTTTAAAATATTTTACATTACTACTTCCAAATTCACTCAATATATATAATTAAAAAGGCATATATTGAATCAAAATATCATTTATTTTACCAATATTTTGTTTATTTAAGAGTTTGTTGTTGACACACATTAATATTATAAAAAAGGCATCTCCTTATCGTGGAACTGAAAGTTGCTGGTGGCTTGCGCCATCTATCTAAATAAATATCAGCTATTATCGTTGATTTTTAATAATTCCAGAATTTGTACTATTTTTTTACACATTAATATGTTATAATACCTTGATAAAGGTTGGCGTTCAGCCAACTGAAATATTGGTAAAATAAATGATATTTTGATCCAATATATGCCTTTTTAATTAAAGATTTATTTATGGAGAGAGAGAGAGATTGCTCTATTTTCATTATATATATAATTGACGCTAAAAATATTTTTGAAATATCAATATTTATTTCTTCTCCCTCGAGAGATTCTTTATTTTCACTTTTGATAATTCCTTATTAAGTATTTTCCCTTTTTTATTTAATTGAAAACATCGAAAGAAAAAACAGACGAAGGATTATTTGAGATTTTATCTTTTATTTTATTCAAATCCAACCTATAATAATGATATTTTTTTTATCTCTACTTACTCTGAAGTTTCAGTCAAAAAAGAATGTTTCATATATTTTAATAAAAGTAAAAGTAGCTTTTTTTTTTCATTTAAGCCAATTTTGAAGATTTCTTTTTAGGGTTAATTCTCTAAGGAAAAAAAAAAGAGTGGATTCATCCAATCAGCTTTCATTTCCTGAGTCTACATTATCATCTCATGTTGCATTGCCCTTCCATAGGAAATATTGGATTCTTCAGACTTAATTAAATAGACCATTTTATATAGAGCATCTTTATCCTTTTACTCCCCTTTTTCATAGTTTTATTTTAAGAACAAAATAATATTTATTTTTTAAAATAAAAATATCTGAATAGAGATAGAAATGCGAGAATTTGATGAATGTATTTTAAATTGAAATATTGAAATATTTTTTTATATTTTTGTAACAAAATATTGTATTTTGTTCCTTCTCTTTCTTTCTTTCGATATTAGAATCAATTTTAATGTCAAATGTAAAAACAACAATAAAGTATCTATAATTGTAAGGATTGCTCTGTTATACGCATGTGATAAATAGAATTAATATTATATCTATCAGAGAGAGAAATATATTTATATATATATATATATATAATAATCTAAATATTTTATATTTTTTAAAAACATAAATTTTATTTTATTCATTGACTCTTCTACATTTTTTACCATATATTTAAAAGATAACACTTTGAATATTGTTGTAAATATGTATAGTTAACCTACATATTTTTTTTTATTTACTAATATAAGATTTATTTTATAAATTATATATAATTGTGATAAATATTTAATGTATAATTTGCTTCAAGTAATCAAAAATAAAAACTACCTGATAAGTAAATATCTATCTTTCTTATTTTACTGACTGCACCTTCAATTCTTTATCATCCAACCACAAAACATTCATAACATATATAATATATGAAATGTTTGATAGAAATATATATTTATTGATGATCGGATCCGTTTTGTTTAAAGATAATATATCAGTAATATATTATATTATTACTTTACTCTGTTTTGATTCGAGATAATCGAAGGTATGTTAATTATTAAAGGCTTTGTTTATAATGTGTATGTGTTCAAGATTTGTGAAATAATAAAATAATTATAGTAGCATTAAATTTCGCATCTTTTATTTTTCTTTTAAAGATATCTAAAAATATATAAGTACATTCTCTAAACCTTCCAGTATGTACAAACATGGTCACATTTGTCCAAATGAAAGGCCATAGAGGTCAGTTCATAGCTGCTAAAATTTGATTGTTTATATTTGTCAAAAAATGTGACGCTAGAACAGTTTACTGACAGTCATTGTTTCTACACTGCTGTTGAAGAAAGTAGATGGCTGAAAGTTGGTTCAGATTGTTACATTGAAAGCCCTCTTTCTCCGAAAGTTCTCGTTCACTTGTTGCTGTCATTCAACCACCGTATGATCAGACAACCTTCCAGTATGAACAAACATGGTCACATTTGTCCATTAGGGATGCTAGAGAGGTCAGTTCATAACTTGTAAAATTTAATTGTTTATAATACAATATAATGCGGCTTATAATTATAGAACGATATTTGAAAATTATCCCGCATGTGTTTATTTTGAACGAAAAATCGAAATTTATTTTGAAGAGAAATAACGATTATTTCTAACCTTAAGGATGAAGTATGAAAGGATGAATTGTGAAGAGTAATGATAAACGGAAATTTAAAGTGTCCAGGGATGGGAATCAGACCCACAGGGTAGCCTAGTGGATATGGCATCTGAAGCGGAACACTGTGGGTTCGATTCCCATCTCTCCCTGGACACTTTATTTTTTTATTAGTTATTTATCTTTAAAATAAATTTCGATTTTTCGTTTAAAATAAACACATCCGGGATAATTTTCAAATGTCGTTCTACAATTTAATTGTTTATTGTGGGTCAAAAAAATGTGACGCTACAACAGGTGACTGGCATTGTCATAGTATCTACACTGCTGTTGAAGAAGGAAGATCTCTGAAAGTTGGTTCAGATTATCGTATTGAGAAAGAAATCGCCCTCCAATAACTTTTCGTTTACTTGTTTTCAGGAATAGTTGCTTCAGCAAGTTCGTTTACTTGTTGCTGTCATTCCACCAACCGTATGATCAGACAAACCTTCCAGAACCCCTTTAATCCTCTTACAAGTTCATTAAATACTTCCTCCACGCCAATAAAATATCACTTTACAACTCTATGGATTACGGTATAAAAAACTCTGACAGCCATAATTACATTTTAAGTCTAAAATAATAATCCGAAATGCCCAATGATTAGGGGGACCCACAGGGGGAGTTTTAACTGCCATAAATCCGTTTTTTTGTCCACGCCAAGAGATCCGGGGCCATCAATTACGTGAGGAAGACGTCAGACAGCAGCTGTCTTCAGTAGCCATCCCTGCCCCACGGGGAATTGGGGATCATCCGGTGGGGTAACAGGGTCGTCCTGACTGAAATCACGTATCCATCGAGTCAATCAAGATATTTATACAATACTTATGTCCATAGTTCATTTAAAATACCCATTCCAAGAGTCTATCATCAGTATCACTATAAAAAGAATACCGAATAAATGCAATATTACAGCGGTATTTATTATTTATTACCATCAAATCAGGCACGATATCCCCACAAGGGATGCTTACTTCTAGAAACAACAATAAATTCAGATACTATTCACATAAACAATTGAAAAAACAAGGTTTAAGTAGAGTTTAAAAAAACGAAAGAAAATAGGACATTAAAACCATGCTTGATTTTACAACTAACCAATGAAATAAATAAATTCTAATTTATATGCATAGTTTGAGTCAAAAGGCGATCCATCAAATAAAATTATATAAAATGAGCGTACCTGGATCTGTAAAAGAAAAAAAAAACATTTTTTCTCAAAATATATATATATTTCGCGAGATTGTTTCCTCTTTATCAATTTATTGTACAGTCATTGATAAAGAAGGTAGCAATCTTTAGAACTTACAGAAACTTACAGAAATAGGTACGCCTTTTTATATAAACATATTTACATAGGTAGGAATTACTGTTTTTTTTTTAACCAAGAGAGAAAATCATAGATATATTTACAGAATTTTCTAGATTTAAAATAGGAGTCTTTACTATTTATAAACATAAAAAGATCCTTGTATTCATTGTTTTCCCGATTTCTGTAGTTTTGGAAGATTGGGCACTCAATAAGCAGGTGACTGCTTATAAGCGCTTTAACACAATAAGCGGTATGGTAGATTACACTTGGGCAAAGGTGGGAGGGTTCACTAATGAGCCAGGCAGTCCTATTATTTAATCCTCGCAGTAAGGGCAGTAGAAAATTGACTTAGTTTTAAAAGAATCATACGCGTCAAAAATGGTTCAAATTTCCTATAATGGAGTATAAAGATTTAAAATAAAAGGTCGATTTAGTCGAGAATCCGAACCGAAGGGTTGACCTAGCAAGTGACGGTAGAGCTAAACCAAACTGACTCGTTACCATATTACAGGCAGAATGAATCAATATTGATAACTCTACACTCATAGATAAACCTTAAGAATATCTGAATGATATACTCATTAAGTGAATTAAACTATTGTTGACTTTTTGCTTAAAGATACTGCCACGTGGAAAATTAAGGAAGACCGACTTCGGGATGAGATGACAATTTATTTCAGGCTTGAACAAACTATGAATAGTAAACAAAAGATAAGCAACGAGGGAAATTTACAGAGTAGCAAAATAAAAACATAAAAAATTGACCACTCTGTTAATAAAAATGATAAAATTAATAAATACCTAGTTACAATACTGATCCCAAAAAGATTGATCAAACATTATCTTTATTGATTCAAAAGAGAGAGAACAGAAAAAAAACCTTATAACAAAAATAAACAAAGAATAATCTCTATTCAGCTTACGGTTAGCGCCTATTTACATGTGATCCTACACATATACTCTGTGGGAACAATTAATTAATTAAACTTAAAATAACAACAAAAACTATTTTTAATTACAAAAATTAGATGTATTCAATAAAAATTTTGATGTTTTCGCGGTCGTCTGTTTTTATAGATAGAGGCAACTATGTTCACATTCGGTTATCTCGTGTGCCTTCAATAAAGTTCACTGTAATATCTTTCAGAGTTATTGTCTGAATCCCGATATACATTCTAAAAGGTATAACTTCCTTGTTCATGAGTGTATACACACTTGGTTATCTGGTGTGTCTTCAATAAAGGTCACTGTAATATCTTTCAGAGCTATTGTCTGAATCCTGATATACATGGTTAAAGGTACAACTTCCCTAAGTTTTGTCCATGAATGTATATCGCGCCCGGTATCAGAAAATGTCTGTTAGTGTTCTAAAAACCGTATTTCTGGTAAACAACAAAAATATACAACCCCCTAAATGGTATATGTATTCCTAGAATAAGGAAATTCTACAGTTCCTTGCCTCGTGGCATCCTATCTATCTATCTAACGCTATTCAGGTCACCTAGCCGGGAGCTGACCAATTAAATGTGCGGAAATAGAGGTCTTGTCAACACTACTGCCGAATATTAATGATTGACCACGCCTTCTTAAATGTTTCCTCCAATAGGAATGGCGGCCAGATCATGCCCTACGCGTCAATTAACCCATCAGCAGCTGTTGCGACAGAGCGTTCAACCATGAGTTGCACAACCTTCGAATTGAGTTGGTTCGTGGGGCTTTTCTTCCGGCGTCTAGAGTTTGTTGAGACAAGTTTCATACCGATATATACATCACGCTTGAAAGATAGTTCCCTCTAATTGGTGAAATACACACTTCAAGTATTATTTCAAAATGACATTGAGCAGAATCATCTCTCTCATCGACCTGCCCACTCTGTGGGAAAGAATTCGCGCACTCTATCGGTGGCGGAGTCTTTCCCGCGATGGGCGCTACCAACGAAGGCCTTATACATATTTTATATATATGTATATTTATCTATTTTTAAATATATATTTATATCTATTTATTCATATATTTATCATTATATAATCATATTTATATTTATTCTGTATTTAACCTTATATAATTTTATATAGACATTGAAATAAAGTAGTTTCAATCTCAATCTCCCATCGACTTGCAACTCTGTGGGAAAGAACTCTCGCAGTCCATCGGTGGCGGAGTCTTTCCCGCGGTGGGCGCCACCAATAATTCCATTGTTTAATCTTATTTATTTATATTTATTCATATATTTTATATTTAAACTTATATAACCTCATATGAACGGTATAATAAAGTATTTTCAATCTCAATCTCTCTCCGCCCCCACTCCCAAACTGTGAGAATATAAAGTTATAAACATTAATAGCGCTAGTTTTGTCGTTGTATTAAAAAGAAAAACTTCCACAATCACTAAACGAAAAGATGAAAATGATATATTTGGAAGGCTTGACTTATCATTGTGGAACCCTTTTCGCAGTATCGCTAAGAGTTTCCCACTGTTAAGCCAAGCCTTTCTTTATATAGTATGGCATAGCGCCATCTAGTGGAATAAAAATAAACTATATATTGATTTAGATTATTTCATAATATTTACTAACCCATTTATTGTCATAAATTTGAAAAAAGCTAACCACGTACGCGTTTCGGGCTGGTAACCCTCGTCAGCGTGGTGCAGGTTGTACATCAACGACCAAAATTTGGTCCCAGAGGTTTCTCGAGAAATCAACAAATGGATATTTAAAATCAAATTCACATAAATACGCTTAACAAATGAAAAAAAGTAAGTAAAATAGAAAAGATCAAATGGTGATATTTAAAATCAAATAGTCAAATTCTGACCACTCAAAATAATTTTTTAAAAGACTGAGCGCCATCTAGTGAAATAAAAATCAACTAAACGTTGATTTTTTTTAAATATATTGGTTAACCTTTAGTTATTTCAGAAATTTGTAGTTTAAATACAGCAGCAAAATGGCTCTGATAATGATTATAATTTCATATATTCACTTCAAATTGTGTTGAGTATATGTTTTTTTCTTCTTTTTTTTTTTTTTGTAAGAGAGATTGATATACAGATAAGCTTGTCTATAGCGCCCCCTCTTGGGACTCACCAAAATAGGGTGTATAGAGAGGAGGTGCTATACCGACAGGTCACTTTTAATGTAAATCGCATCGTACTACGTATTTAAAATCGGGCGCTATAGAGAAGAAGGCGCTATTTAGAGGGAGCGGTATAGACAGGTTTAACTGTATAATGAGAGAGATTTTTAAAGGTGATATTTTTCAAGATACTTTATTAATATCCAACAACTAAAAGAAAGAGACTTCAAATTTGTAAGGAAAAAGTTTATTTGCGAAAGTAAAGTTTCAAGTATTTTCTGCTGAATAATTGTCGATATAACACACAAAAATTTATAAATTCAATATTCTATATACAGTTACGAGCGTCATGCTTCATGTCTTCATCTCTGTCACCGTTTGCTTTTTTTTTTTTTGGGAATGGCGCTCTCCTATTGGTTGGCTACGATCACGCCACCACTACGCGAGACACTTTGTTTTTGACTTTGCCCCCCCCCCCACTCGCTTTTTGGTTTTTGTAACTATTGTGTTGGAGCGGGTCGCTCCTTAAATAAATGCATATATTAGTTAATAACTAAATGGAATCATCTCTTTCTTTTTCCCAGTAAGAGACGCCTACGGAAGCCAACAGTACATAGACAGATAAAGCACATAGGCTATAGTTATTAACTAATATATGCATTTATTTAAGTCGCCACTTTATAATTGTAACAAATAGTATTTGAATAAAAACATTCAATCGGG